GTTGCAATGCACCCCAGAACAGACATGCAGCAGTTGATGATGAGGGGAAGGACAGGGACTGGAGACATTTTGGAAACTCTTATTTACAGTAATGAACCTATGACGGATGGACAGGTGTGAACGCAGCCCTGTCAACTTTTCCTGCGATACAATTAGCTCTGTCTACCACTACACAAATCCAGACTCACAATATTCATTATTCTTTTATCCGTTATCTTATTACTGCAGCTTTTATTTGTTCATGCGACTCTTCTTTCATGTTGTTTCGCAACTTCTAAGTGCAGGACACACCACACATCTGACCAATGAATGACAGCTCCAGCTAATTTAGCTAGCTAGCTAAATCTCAGCTCTAGCGTTAAAACCCTAACATCCTTTTTTTTAAATGTCCATTTGCTTAATAACTGCAAACAATTTCTTTAACTTTGACGATAAAACATACTTAAAATTATTTAGAAACTGAGAAGCGGCTAAACCTGACAGAAATGGCAATGTTTCCAGCCGAGCCGCGGCACAATCCGAAAACTCCACGTCTACTTCCGTCAACATGAACGCTGCCCAAAAGAGCTGGCTGAGTCCCAAATGAGTACCCTACGCTCTCCATGCGCACTACGTAGGCCACACAGTAATACATTTTACATCCTAGATAGTGCACTGTATAACCAATAGAGCTCAATTTAGTATCCATCCATTCACGGTGGTTTAACTTTAACCCATTTCTTGACACTACTGACTAAATGCGACAGAAAAACAAATGAAACTGTTCGAAGTGCCTACATATTATGATTTAAGATGTATTATTTAGTACAGAGACATTATTGAACATATTTATTATATTTATAATATTTATTTTAAAAAAATATTTATTATTTAATCGCGGTCGGACTTTTTAAGCGTGAACTCACAACCGGAAGTTGAAGCGTTAGGTGCTTGGGTGTACATTCAAGTGACCGAACCGTTCAATAAGGTTCATAAATACTCTAACTGTTACTCCAATTGAGGATTGTGGGATATTGTCTCTTGGGGTTTATGTATAGGAGTTTGGCCTGGTACAAAGGTGTAGACATGCAGGAATAACATAGAGCAGTACACAGCAAAGAGCACCACACACACACACACACACACACACAGAGGGTTACAAGATACAAAGTAAATATGAAATAAAAAAGGAAGTCATTTTTAGTAACAATAAGTAACAAGGAATCAATTTTTCATTTTCTTCATTTTTTTTTTCTTTTTTTTTAAATTTTTTGTTAATTGTTTTGCTCAGTCTGTAAACTCAGCTCTGGAAACTGTATTTAAAAACTCTTTCTCATATTCACTGACAGATGCATACAGAAGTAGAAAACCAACTTACTTACCTACATTCATTCACTGATCTGCTTTATCCTGGGTAGGGTCATGGTACTGTACATCCAGAGCCTATCCCAGGAATACTGGGTGCAAGGCGGGAATAATGAATGGGACACCAGTCCATTGCAGGCTATAGTGTACATTCCTTATGCAAAAAAAAAAAAAAAAAGGGTTTTGATTGCCTTAAAGCCTTTGTGCATTGTATGGGTAGTGTACCAGCAATTATATTAATGGGCAAAATATCCTTCTAAAAGTAGCATTTATGTTCAATGCTTTCAAAATTTTTAAAAAAAAGTCAGTTTGGTGTGTATGACAATTTCGACCACACTGCTGGTGAATTCTTGAATCTGACTGGTCAAAGGGTGTTGATTCATTTTCTGTAACTGACAATACTTCAGATTGTAATTCAAATCACAGGCTTATATTAATGGGCTTGTTTTAATACCTTATCATTTCTATAGTAACAACTCACTTACAAAGTGCAATGGTATAGAAGAGTAAAACATTTTGGGATGTGTTGTTACTGGAAAATAATCAACCTTTTGTTGGTACCTGCTTCCCATCAGGCCACATCACACCACCCAAGCACTGATTATTTTCCTATAACAGCACTCCCCGTTGTGTTACAATCCTGCTATATTGAAAGCAATTTATTTCATAACTTACATCACACACTATTCTTTAGGGATCAATTCAAATACCTTCAAAACTCCACAATTCGCATGATGTTAGAGTGTGTAAAAAAAAAAAAAAAGAGCCTGAGAAAAGGCTCGCTTGGAAAAGATTTACACACAGTGGCATATTAAGGAGTTAACCCAGTATGTGTTTACTTTTTTAGATGTAAGTCCTGACCATATCCAGTTCCTGTGTTTACATTAAAATGGACTAGGAAAATACTGACTTTTTACCGGCAACATCTTCTGCTGTTTCCACTGCAATTATTGTGCTCTTTAGCCACTTTGTGTTTTTGCCTTAATGCATTTAGTTTTAGTTTGGCACTGGAGCCAGGACAGACTGTGTCCTTGCTTTGCCAGTGCCTGAGAGAAAGCCTGGTGTCTCTAGCTACCCTGAAGGATTTTGAGAAGACTATTTATTTTATCTGGCCTCCACTGACTACCCTCCATAATCCACATGCGTCGTCTGATCATGAATTTTGGCCTAGCCTATTGTCGCATAACAATGACAATAACTTACTGAATGAGGACACGTGAGAAGTCTGCGTATTTCTACCTCACACACAGACACATACACAGTTTGCACTATGGAAAAACGAATTTTTTGCTCATGACATAAAAAGCTCTTACACTGTACAGCGCTGTATATTTCTACACAGAAACAGTTGCACTATGAGACAATCTTTTGCACACTACAGCTCTGTATATCTGTATTTTAAACATATTCTATTTATGTATTCATATTCTACATTTCATTCCTCTAAAGGCTGCTAAACCTTTTTACATTTAGTCTTCCTGATTTTATTTTATTTCATTTTGTTTTTATTATGTATCACTGTTGCACTGTGGGACAAGGCACTAAGGAAAAACATTTCACTACATTACATCACATGTATGTAATATGTATGTGACAAATAAAGAACCTTGAACCGTGAACTTCAGAATTAACAGGAAAATTGGATCTGAGCACTTACATGTAAGCGAAATGACCACATATCAGATGTGTTTTGGATTAAGAACCACATTTGAATGTGGCACATATTGGATGTGAAAAGTGGTTTACTCCACAGGTTCCCAGTCCTGGTCCTGGACGCAACCCCTGTTCTGCACATTTTATAGTTTTACCTGCTCACTGAACACTTGAATCAACTAATCAGCTAATTAACAGGCCTTCCTGACTTGAAGTGGGTGTGTTATTGGTGCAATAGTCAATATTTTTCATTTCTTATTAGTAGAAATTATTTAAAAAATCAACAGTTTAAGCCATTGTCTCAGAACAGGTCTATTGCACAGCTGAAAAAAACAACCCAGTTTGGAAAGCTGCCTTCTGGTCTGGAATATTTGTTTGTATTTGTACTGGCCTCTTGTCAATCATTTTATAGACACGCCCCCAACGCCCCTTCACACCCACATAACTCATTATGAGGAGAAGTTGTATGTTTATAAAGTTGTAACTCAGCTTTCAAGCAGTTGAATTACCAAAGGACCATGTCATGCTAGCCCTTGCTTATGCTAACTCTACTTAGTTAGCATTCTGACTCTAGTTGATTAACTGTAAGTTTGGGGGCGGGTCTTAGTGTACATGAGCGGAAATGGGGGCGGGCTCAGTGAGTAAAAAAAAAATCATTCATATCTTATTCAGCTCCACCCATTTAACCGTTAGAGACATTTATCCACCACAATTCTTACATAATACACGTTTAAAGCAGGAGGTTCTTCAGAATCAGAGTTGGGAACCATGTATAGTATGTAACAATATTCAATCTGTGAAAGAAGTCACTTTTTTCAGCCTACATGCTGCAAATTGTATTTATTTAGCTTAAACACCACTGCTTTGGTATGTCTGTGAAAATGGATTGCGAGTCGATTTTCTCAGTGAAGACCCTCACCTCTCTATAGTCGTGCATTGGATTATGGTCAAATCTGCCCTGTCCAATATGGCGGACGCATTGACGTCTCTACCCCTCGCTAGCACCCGTGGCTAATATATAGTTGAACGGCTTGCTGTGATTGGCTGAGCTGTTTAGGGGCGGTGTTCAGCCCTACAGGCAGAGCGGAGCAGAGTACAGCACGGCGAGCCTCTCAGTCGGTATTCGCGGCGTCTTTCTGCCTTCTGCGCACATCTTCGGCTTAGCAGCGAGAATATCAGCGGTTAGCCGCAGAGGCTAGCTGTCAGTGACGTTCCTTATCGCCTTGCTGTGCTTTTCTACAAACCGTTCAATTTGATCGCCGGAGGAAAAGAAAAACACGGTAATTATGGTCATTTCTTTTGCCAGTCATGGTGTTTACATTTTGGCTGTCGCTGAATAAGCTATCCGCGGCTAAGACAGACACAGTGCTCGTAAACACCGGTACGGGAATTGTGATAGAGCTGCACATTTTTATTAAAAAATGGTGCATGTGTGTAAATTTCAGAGGTGTATCGATGCTAGACTGTGTTTCCATGCTGCACAGGACAACAGTCAACAGTGTTGTTGTAGTATTAGTGTTAATGTTAGTGTTAATGTTAATGCAGTGCAGTGTAAGCTAACGCCACACACACCGTGCTGTCAGGTGTCTCTAAACCACTCCGAGAGGAAGAAGAGAGGACATTTATTAGCGATAAAATGTTTATTTATTTGTTTATTTATTTATTTATTTTTTATGTGAGATCCACGTTGCAGAAATGTGCCATAGTTAATGTGCTGAATGTCTAATACATCACTTTATGTTCTTCTTCCTATTCTTCCACACTACTGACTCCAGGTTACCTCGTTTAATTTTACTGACTTAAATACAAGTTATTTAATAACAGTACATGATTCTGTGCCATCAATTAGATTAGTACAGTAGTGTAGTAATGCACTTTATCATGCTTGTAGTATGTTATTACAGAGTAATGTCACACAATACAGCTTTAAATTGTATTAACAGTAAGTGTTTATAGTTAAACCTACAGTGTTTATAGGTTTTCATGTCACACCCGAGGGTGGGGGCGCGGTGGCCTAGTGGCTAGCACACCTGCCCTGCACCAGGGGGAGTGGGGTTCGAATCCTGCCCCTGCTCCGTGTGTGTGTGTGTGTGTGTGTGTGTGGAGTTTGCCTTTTCTCCCCATGCTTTGGGGGTTTCCGCTGGGTACTCCAGCTTCCTCCCCAAGTCCAAAGACATGCATAGTAGGCTGATTGGCATTTCCAGGTTGTCTGCAGTGTGTGTGTGCGTGCGATGGGTCCAGGGTTTTCCCCACCTTATGCCCCGAGCTCCCTGGGATAGGCCCCAGGCTCCCCCACGACCCTGTGTAGGATAAGCAGTACAGAAAGATGGATGGATGTCAGACACCACCAACTGCTCTCATAAACACAGTTATAGCATACACTGTACAGCCAAACATTTATGGAAAGCTGACCATCACACCTATATGTGCTTTTTGAGTATCCCGTTCCAGATTTAGTCCCATTTTGCTGTCATAATAACTTCCACTCTTCTGGGAAGGCTTTCTACTAGATTTTGGAGCATGGCTGTGAGGATTTTTGTTCATTCAGCCACAAGAGCATTAGTGAGGTCAGGTACTGAGGCCTGGGCTGCAGTCAGTGTTCCAGTTCATTCCAAAGGTGTTCAGTGGGGTTGAGGTCAGGGCTCTGTGCAGGACACTCGAGTTCTTCCACTCCAACCTTGGCAAACCATGTCTTCATGGAGGTAGCTTTGTACACAGAGGCATTGTCATGCTGGAACAGGTTTGGGCCTCTTCGTTTCAGTGAAGGAAAAATCATAAAGCTACAGCATACAAAGACATTCCATATAACTGTGTGCTTCCAACTTTGTGGCAATACAGGGCGCCCCAAAAGTTACCATACATAGGGGAAATTAACACTTTTTAGCAAAATGTCTTCCAAAATTTTTCATCCTTAGTTTATATTATATATATTTTTTCAGCCAGCCTTTAAGAATGCATTTGAGAAAAGAAGAACGTATTGAAATCATCCTCATGGCTGGATCGGGAAGCTGTCACAAGGTTGTGATGGACATGCAATTACATGCATTTACATGCATAACACCAGATGTGTTCATCATGAGTGCGAGAGACGACGCCATGTGCGCTTACAAAGAAATGGCAATCGTGTAGAGGATGTTCTGTCAATAAAAACTAAGAACTTTTTGGCTAAAAAAGTGTTAATTTCCCCTATGTATGGAGACTTTTGGGACACCCTGTAGCTTGGGGAAGAACGACATATGGGTGTGAAGGTCAGGTGTCCACATACCAGAGTTGTCAGAGTTCAGCACATAAGATGAGCATTGCATACCTCTCAACAAGAAGTTAAAAGTCCGGAAGTGTAGCTCTGGCGATTAAATCTATGGACAAACATGTTTAGGTTTTGTTTTTCCACATAGTAGACTACATTCTTCCACCACATTATCAGGACGTCACTATTTCCATACTGAGTTTGATATCTGGTTAGATGGAAGGTAAAAAAAAAAAAAACAACACAAAACCTTCAGGAAGTCAGGCCTCTGCATTCTCAAAGATAGTTAAGATCATCTGAAAATCCCTCAAAAATTTCTCCAGGTTCATCCATTATAACACAGTTATGGAACGTCTTAAGAAATGAACCTGCTTAAACCAGGGTTGCCAGATTGGATTGATTTTCCAAGCCAGTTTCATGCTGTAACACCTTTCCAGTTGACTGCCAACTAGAGCTGCAGACAATTAATTCTAATAGCTGATTATTCATGTGAATTTAATCGGCTTAAATGTGTCTTATAAAAGAGAACAGCTGTTGCAAATATTTTTTTTTCAATAATACAATGCAAAACAAAACCGTGAGGAATAACATAGCAACTTGTTACTCTTCTGACTTTCTCCTCTAGCGCTAATCTAATGATTATTCCCTGTTACAGTTTATACTCTATCTGTATAACCATAACTCTACTAAATCACATAGACATTCATCAGCATTAATTTTTAAAGCAAAACTGAAACAGGCTACAGATAACCAGTCTCATTAAACTACGAAATGGCTCAAAACCCAAGTCGACTAATCATTGCAGCATTACTACCAACCAAAACTGCATCAATTATCTAATTTAAAATGATATCTATAAGGTAAAATGAGTCATTAAGTCAGAAAAGCACAACTGGTGAGGTGGAGTCTGAAATTCCTGCCATAAACACAACTTATTTATCAGATAAAGATGTTTATCAGATATTTCTGGATCATTTACTAAGTCATTTTTTACTCTATCGACCCATCTTTGGATTTTAATCTGACAAAATATTGCTCTTAATTCTTGATGACAGAGTGATTGATGATGTTGAAGACATATTACCAGTCCTGAAAGGGGTTTTATTAGTTCTCATCAATGGAGACTGAAGAAGCTGCAGGCACGCTAATCAGATTGATACAGACTGAATTTGACATATTTTCAGATCCTCTTTTTGTTCTATTTATGGCATAAATGGCATGTGGTGTCGACTGATAAAACACAGATTTTTGCACATGAACATATGCCATAACTTGTCTACATCCTTATGTCATAACTTGTCTTCAAAGATATACAAGGATATAAATGAAAGCTTTCTATAAGGAAACATTTATTTAACGTTTATTTATGGAAGGAGTCTCCAGTGTCAGTGCTTTGTAATGGTTAGTAAGTTTTCCACCACAGTAAAGTCTTCAGTCTGTAATGACAAGCTGTGTTTTTTTTTTTTTTTTTTTTTTATAACTAACTTAAAGAGAGTCTGGTGAGAGAGCTCCTGCTTATAGCTGCTTGTTTTTGGGGATGTTTTATGACATTAAATGTAACTGTAAATGGATAAATGTACAATGTGGCATTCATTAATACATTTAAAATGTAACTGCTGACAATTTGCTGTGGTGTAAGAGGAATAAAACACTTTGGGATGTGCTGTTATTGGAAAGTAATCAACTTCAGGGTGGTCACAGTATCTCTGCTTTATGTCAGGCTGCATCACACCACCCTGCTATTGATTATTTTCCTATAACAGCACATTTCTGAGTGTTTTATTCCTTACATATTAGGCATTGTGGCCTTAATAATCAAATTATTACCTCTATATGCTCCAAATAGCTTTTTTTCGCTTTATTTTGTGCACTCAGTCACTCCCTCTCTCCTCTCCACAGGCTCCCACGTTAATGAATCAGACTTTCTAGCCCATGTTGAAAATGGGACCCAAGTGATCGGGGAGACGATGGACTTTGAGGACGTGAGCTGGCCGATCCTGGTGACGCTCTTCTGCGTCTCGCTCCTGGTTGTGCTCACATGGCTCCTTCAGTTCTCACAGGCTTTGCTGAGGTCCAGGAGAGGCGGCAGAGCTGCGCAGAGCAGAGAGACACCGTGGCAGCTGCCCCTGCGCCTCACCCACCACACGCTGACGGGAGGAGTGTGGGGTTTGCTGCTCAGGTACCGGCTGGGCCGAGACGACTCTGAGGCCGGAGTTAAGGGCCTCCTGTCCTCACTTTTCACCTTCAGGTCGTTCAGAGAGCACTGGCAGCGAGCATGGGTGAGAGCGCTCAACGAGCAAGCCTGCCGGCAAGGGGTGAGTGAGTTCATGTTGTACCGATCCTCATGACCCGTGCAATGCACGTGTTAGTAGGTGATTGTGTTTGTTTCGTGTTACTAAGAGAAGTGATATGTGAAAAGTGGTATTTTCTTCCGTTGTGTGTTTTGATGTCCCCTTGTGCAGATATTTCCGCACGGGAGCAGGTATTTATAGACCTCGTTTCAGCGAGTGTGTAGGTGCACAGTGTGTGAGGTGGAGTTACTCGTTCCAGTGTGTGGGAGTGCGACTGTCAGGAGTGAGCGGCAGGTTCATGTGTAATCCTCTCTCCCAGTCTCCCCTCTCTCTCTCTGTTACAGTCTCTGTTTGTATTACATCATGGCTCATGAGGCTGATCTTATTTACCAAGTGGAATATACACAGATGGGTGACAAACTAAAGGAAAAATTGTATCTTAGTAAGGTTTTGGGCCACCACGAGCCACCAGAACAGCTTCAGTGTACACTGCCATTGATTTTAGGGATGAACACCAAGAAGATTCCCTCAGTCAGTGTATTGATGGTGGTAGTGGTGAGCGCTGACTAGCATGACAGTTCAAAATCACGCCTAAGCATTCAGTAGCGTTGACAGTTGTTCATTGTGAAGGCCATAGCATATGATTTACACCGTTTTCATTCTCATCAAACCATTCACTGCGCTCTCTTGGACCATGGATGTGGGTGGAGTCATCTTTGAAGAGACCACTCCCATCAGGATAGAAATGTTTCATCATAGGATAAAGGTGATCAGTCAGAACAACTTTGTAATGATTTGCAGTGACACTTCCCTCTAAGACACACGTGTCAAACGAAGGGCCCACAGGCAAAATACAGCCCCTAGCCTCGTTTCGTTCCTCCTCATTTCATTCGAACTTGGAAGGAATAATATTGAAATAGGGTGTAGTGCACTACTACTCGACATTTATACACTATAAAGAATTTACAGCAGATCCGAGGCATAGGTGGTTAAAACCAACACCTCAACCAAAAACAAAAAGTACTCATGCATTTTGGCTGACAGTCATAGGAGCGGTGATGAAACTAATTTGTTAATCGGTCGTTTAAGGCACAATCTACCGCTATATTAATAATATTGATATAAAATTCCTTTATGACAGTTTGACAGAAAATGCATGCTACTATGCTAGTAGTAGGAAATATTACACCTTGTCTTATAAATCCTGATCTACTTTTCTTTTGCAGTAAACCAAGGTAGGATACTTCACTGACTTTGACCTTGATATCCCAGCGCTTTTACAGTGCAGGTGACAGTAATGGGAAAAGTGTGTGATTCCAGCTAGTTAATCCTGTTTCTCATCATAGCAGCTGATAGCCAATAAAATATGATTAAACACAGGAATGCATTCATAAAACAAACTTTAATTAAGATAATAAATGTTATCACCTAATAGTGCATACACTTAAATAGTTTTTGTTAGCCCTTCTTCTTTTTCTTAGAAATATCCTGTTCTAATTTCAGATCCTAGGTTATTGGTGTTTTAATTCATGTTAGATA